CCCAGACGAGATCACAAACACAGATAAGGAAGTGTCTCCGTGAGCCAACGTAAACTGTGGAAAGAAACAAGGATTTGGCTCAAAAGTGAAAGTGAAAGTGAAAGTAAGAGAGTGGACACAGCTGCAGAAGAGGCTGGAGGAGTCCAGACAGTGACCTGACCAGGCCCTGGGGCAAAAACAACTCAAGATGGAGGAATAATAAGCAGCGGACTGTCAGAGGAAAGAAAAGCATGTGAGGAGAGGGCAGGAAGTGGGAGCCGGGCATTGTGGGTAATGTGAAAGACAGAACAGGATGCAAATAAAAGGTACAAAAACAGCCAGCATCAGCAGAAAACATTTTGTACTTAAAAAACATGTTCATTATTCCACTGATACATGGTCGTTTTAATAACACGTCAATAAGTAATTCTTCTTTATCTAAAAAGCGCCTTTCACAGACCAGAGCTTTACCCTCGGACTCCACACAGAGATGGAGCAGGTCAGGAGGCAAATGTAAGACCTATTGTACATGTTTTTTAGTGGTAGGGGAAACCGGAGCACCCGGAGGAAACCTACGCAGACACGGGGAGAACATGCAAACTCCACTTAGAAAGGCCTCGTTCCGACCGGGATTCAAACCCAGGAACTTCGTGCCGAGAAGCGAGAGTGCTAACGTCATAGTCCAATAATTCTAATGGGTCTAACAATGTTGCTATAGAAGCATGTAGACAGAAGGGGCGGGGGGACGCGAAAAGTTCCTCATAAGTCAAGTTAAAGGTACACTATATAGGAGGATTTACTACTTCCGGGTGGATCATCAAGACTATTGGTCCTCCTAATTGTCAATCAATCTGGTGATACGTGCTCGTCCAAAAGGATCGGAGTTTTGTTCAAAAAGTGGAGAGGGCGGTTCTCTCAAAAAAATTGGGAAAATCCTCCTATAAACCTTTAAGTTATACCCATCACTCAGGAGCAGTGGTCGTCATAGCAACCCTCGAGGACTATTGCAGATGTGTTTCTAGTGGTAGGAGAAGCCGTAGCACCTGGAGGAAGTCTACCTAGACACCAGGAGAACATCCAAACTCCACTCGAAAAGGCCCTGTCCCAACTGGGATCTGAACCCAGGAGCAAAAGTGGTAACGACTCAGCCACAATAGACCCACCTACAATTTCAGCACCGTTATTCAAATTTTTTGTTTTGTATTTATTTTATCTACCACCTGCAGAGGGTCAGTGAGGGGCTGGTGCTATGAGACTTGGGTGGCATCTCTGACTGCCACCCCCCTGACCCAGAAATGGATTAAAGGGTAGAAAATGGAAGGATGAAATGGATGGGTATTTATTTTATTTTTTGAAGAAAATAAATTGGATCTGAGGATTGAAAGTTCTGCCTTCAGCGCGGCACTGAAATCTATTCCCCAGTTTGGTAGTTGGATCCTCGTTTCTTGTTGGCCTAATGAGCTGTCACTTCCTGTGAGGAGTTTGACGGTGAGTTTGTTGTGATCCATCGTCTTGTTTTTGGTTTTGTGACATTTTGAATTAGCACTAATGAAACTCAGAACAATGATCAGTTTTGGGGCTCCAATTTACATTTCTTATGCCCGACACAAAAACACATTTATTTCCAGTTAATTAGGAGGCAGACTTGTGTTGCCGTGGGAACATAACTTCTGACCAAATGGGGGAAAACATGTCTCGTAATGAGGACCTTGTTAAAAGATTAACAGAGAGTTGTGTTTTCGGGAGATGAGGAAAAAGCTGCGTTTATTTCCACAACTTTAGGACTTTTCACTCTTTGGATGTTGTCGGGAGTTTATAGGATCTGGATCTACAAACTGTTCGTCCATGGGTGCAGATCCCTCTCAATACGGGTTCATAATAATAATAATAATAATAATAATAAATCAGTTTTATATAGTGTTTCTTTGGACACTCAAAGACGCTTTACATGTCAATATTCACTCACTGACAGATGGCCATACCTGCAGGTGAAAGCCAGATCCTGTCAGGCCGCTGAAGCTAAGCAGGGCGGGGCCTGGTTAGTACTGTGATGGGAGACCTCTGGCGGCTGTAAAGTGCCAAAATATAGTTGTGTCTTTAGAATGAGTCTAACGTGTGTGAATGGGTGGTAGTGAGAGACGGGTCAGGCTGGTTCCGTCAGTGTGCCCCAGGGCAGCTGTGGCTACAGTTTATCACCACTGTGTGTGGAGTGAAAGAATAGAAGTGGGTCTAAGGTCGGTAATGATCCGGGATATTCATCAGCTTTATGCACAGAGGCCGTCTGTATGTGTTTACTATTATGTCAATATCTGTGTTCAAACCGTTTGATTCTCTGATCTGCCGTTTGTGAATTTTATTTATTTATTTATTGATTTATTTGATAGGGACAAGTGTACACAATCAACATATGAAACACTACAACATTTATAGCCAAGGCTAGTTTGCAAGTCCGTCCCTAGGAGGGCTTTTAACACAATTAAAACACATTATACATTATAAAATTCACATTATACAAAAGCAGATGTTCTCCAACTCATTGATGCTCACACACCTGGTTTGTTTTAAAAAATCGCTTTAGTTCATGTTTAAAACCAGCCCAGTCAGAGTTCAGTTTTAGCTGAGGGCTTAAAGAGTTCCAGAGCTTTGGCCCCTGGACCGAGAAGACCGACTGTCCGAATGTGGTTCTCCTGAGGGGCACTTTCACATTCCCGTTAGAGGAGCCCCATGTGACGGATCTCAGAGGAACTAGGAGAGCACTCAGGACAGCAGAATCAACAGCTAAATGTGGGTTTATACACACGTGAACTGAATAGGGCTTGACGATCACATTCATATCTCCTACTTGTGCAATACCAGATTGATTTGCACCTTGGGGGGTAGTCACAGGCAGCAGGCTGTAGATGATTGATTGTGAGTAAAGTTTTTGAAATGTATTGTCAAAAACACATACAAAACCATAAAAACACGAGGCAGATAATTCTAGCAGAGAGAAACCAAAACTGCCTCTACCCTACGGCGGCCCGGTGGCTGAGTGGATAGCACTCTCGCCTCTCAGCAAGAAGGTCCTGGGTTCGAATCCCGGTTGGACCAGGGCCTTTCTGAGTGGAGTTTGCATGTTCTCCCCGTGTCTGCGTAGGTTTCCTCCGGGTGCTCCGGTTTCCCCTACCACTAAAAATATGTACAATAGTTCTGGCATGTGCCTCCTGTACTGGCCCCTCCCACTCCCAAAAATAACAATTGTAAACCGCTTTGAGACTCCAATGTGCAGTGAAAAGGCGGTATATAAATAAAGATTACTACTACTACTACTTACCCTGAAAATCTATAAACAAGTCGACCCAATTCATCTGAAATGGCTTCTTCCTCCAGAAGATCATAGGGAAAGACCAGCACAATGTCATGTTTTGAATTATTACCTCATAAAAACTGGCTTAATGGACCATAATGTGATTTAATGTATGTGTTGTGCATCTGTACGTTTGGACTCCTCTGGTCCATAGTTTGGTCGTGTGTTTTTCTGAGTTTTTGGTGTTATTTCAACGCACAGAAGCAGAGCAGAGGACTGGCCCTGGAGGGTTACAACGGGTCTGGATCTGAGAACCTTTGCACCATCCGCCGACAATAGTAAGGAGGTTCTTATTTTTACAATCTTTTCTAATCAACAGGAGGTGGTTCAAAATGGAAGTCTTCAGCTAAGAATATTTAGCTTTAGATTTAGTAAAACATAATGTGAGTCATAATCGATAACGTGGGCCAGAAATGTCATACACAGCTTGAAACAGTGAAAAGAAGGGAATGATGTCACTATTTAACAAGTATATAAAGATAATAAATCCTAGAAAGAGAGCAAAGAGAATCAGAGGTGCATAAGAGTGAAGGCCTTTCAGAGACTGAGTCGAATAAGACTGAGTGAGTGACCTCAAGTCGCAGAGTTTTGTGGAATAAAATAAACTTTCTGAAAACTAAAACAGTCCTTAAGAGTCTGATTATTACAGAAGGATTGTGAGCGTGGGTCTCCAACAGGTAGCTCAGTCATTTACAGAAGCTTCTCAAAGTATGTAGACATGCAAATAATCACAATATGCATTTGATCCACATTCTTTAACCCTTTAATGGTCACTCCTTGAAGAAAGCGATGCCTTTTTTCAAAGATGTAGAAGCACTAATAACACCAATCACTTATGTGTTTGTTCAACCATTACTTTAATAGGTCTTTACCAAAGGGTAGTTTGATGGTAAAAGTGCCTAAAACCAAGTGCTAGAGATTCCCCAATGAGGTAGATTTTGGTTCCAAGATTCAAACAGATGTGGAGACTAAAAAATGGTTGAGGACACAATTAAAGTGTTAACTTTGTGCATTAATTAAATCCAAATTAATTGAATTTGAAATGATCCAGACCCAGACGTACATGAAGGAAATGATCATGGACCAGAGTTTACACATGGTAAGACCAGAAGTACATGTAGGAAATGATCATGGACCAGAGTTTACACATGGTAAGACCAGACGTACATGTAGGAAATGATCATAGACCAGAGTTTACACATGGTAAGACCAGGTGTACATGTAGGAAATGATCATGGACCAGAGTTTACACATGGTAAGACCAGACGTACATGTAGGAAATGATCATAGACCAGAGTTTACACATGGTAAGACCAGACGTACATGTAGGAGATGACCATGGACCAGAGTTTACACATGGATAAGGCTAGGGCTATAGCTGGTTCCCAATCTATGGCTTACGAGAAAAAAAGGTTTTTCGTTTATAGTCCCTCATCTAAAAGTGAAAAGAGACTCATCAACAAAAAGAGAAACAGAAAAAACAAAAACAGGTGGTTACACATGCCTTTTTCTTACTCCAGTAACACCTTTGTGTGAACTAGTAAAAACAATTCTAATCATTTTAACGCATTATTTGTGGTTTAACACAGAGAAATGTGAAAACCAGACACAGGATTGTGATGGATCAGCTTCATCAGAGGGAAATGAGCCAGATAACATCATAATCCTAATCAAAATGAAGTTTGAGAGCGATGCCAAAGCACTCATTCTCAGAGCAGCTTTTGACCTGATTTACTCTTGGTCTCTGGGAATAATGTAAATTACTTTAATAAATCAAACTTAAAAACTTCATCCTTTCTCTTTTTTGTGACACAAAGTAATCCAACAGAAATGAAAGCTACTTTCTTATATCCGTAATGTAGTTAAGTAACTCATTTTCAAAGTACCTTCCCCAACACTGGGCAACTGTGAAAGAAGAATCTAGACTATAGTGAGACTATAGAGAGAGGTACAGAGTACTGACAGCCTCCTGCTGGTCCGTCCCAGTCCCCACTGGCCCTACTGCCTCCTGCTGGTCCGTCCCAGTCCCCACTGGCCCTACAGCCTACTGCTGGTCCGTCCCAGTCCCCACTGGCCCTACAGCCTCCTGCTGGTCCGTCCCAGTCCCCACTGGCCCTACTGCCACCTGCTGGTCCGTCCCAGTCCCCACTGGCCCTACTGCCACCTGCTGGTCCGTCCCAGTCCCCACTGGCCCTACTGCCACCTGCTGGTCCGTCCCAGTCCCCACTGGCCCTACTGCCTCCTGCTGGTCCGTCCCAGTCCCCACTGGCCCTACTGCCACCTGCTGGTCCGTCCCAGTCCCCACTGGCCCTACTGCCACCTGCTGGTCCGTCCCAGTCCCTACTGCCTCCTGCTGCTTTTTATACAATGTGTATTTGTTGACCAATATACATTGTACATTGACCAATGTACAATGTATATTGTGTACACCGAGTGCACTTGTAAATAGTAATAATTGTAATCATTTTAGTTTTACATTTTTATATTTTTTTAATAAAGAATTGTTTTATTATACCTTATTCTTTCTCTGCTTTTGACACGTTTGCACCAAGAGCCAAAGTAATTTCTTGGTCTGTGACTTCGTGTTACTTACACGGCAATAACAATGATTCTGATTCTGATTCATTACAACAGAGTCGCTGAATCAGTGCCGCGGTGGCTGCAGAAGCTAACCCCCACCGTGTACGGACTGATGAATAACGCCAGTCGAAGCATTTTTATTAAATTATTTCACATTTTAAAACATTAAATTGCGCTACTACATGTACATTGACATTTTCAAAGTTCATATCACAGAACCAAAAATGATTTCCCCACAAATATTGAATCGAAATGTTGATAAAGAATGTGATGTGAACATTTATGAAATCAAAGCAGAACAGGGCAAACAAGATAAACATAAAACCAGGTCAGGGCCAAGACATCGCTGCAGCAGCTGCAAAAGACGCCGACGTGAGCATTTGCTCCAGATGTTCATTAAACGCCTCTGTTGCTAATTAGGCAGCGATGAGGTCACGCTGCTCGAGCCGTCGATTCACTTCCTGTTTCGGAGCGGCCAATAGTGCGCGGCTGTCAGAGAAGCACCATGGCTCACCGCGATGATGGATGGAGCGAGAGACGGCGGCCAAAAAGAAACGCCAACAATAGCAACGGCAACAAAGAGCCAGAGCGGCTCAGCGGGTAGGGGAGGGGGGGGGGGGGGGGGGGGGTGGAATTATGATGGATGACAGAAAAGATGATGTTGAAAGGAAAAGGTAGAGCATCATGAAGCATATTTTAGTAACAATGATCTCGGAACTGATCTCACCTGTTTGAATTATAAAAGAGGATGATATGCTAACAATGCTAACAATGCTAACAATGCTAACGTTAACAATTGTATCTTGAGCCTTGTCCTCTCATCTAAGTACATCTGTGACATCTGTGCCCTATGAACCAAATCTGAGGAGCACAGGGACTGGCCCAAGCCCCGGCGATCCAAGATGGCGCCCTATTCAAATGAATGGTTGTGCTCAGTGGCGCTTTGTGACAGCATGGGGGCTGAAAGATTAGCGGAAGTTGCCTGAAACTCGCAAAGATCTATGGGAAACTCGCCTGTATTTGGGCATCGTCTGGTCCTCCCGGTTCTGTGCAGTGGATGATCTCCCATAATGCGTTGCGCCAAACACGCGTGTGTGGGTCTCACACCGGGTCTCACGCACGTGCACAGAGGGGCTCGGCTCTGACCAATCAGAGCAGTTCATCAGAGCGGGAGTTAGAGCGAGAGCCAGAGGAGCAGAGTTTGTGGCAGTAAAGTGTGGATTTAAACAAAACCGAAAGATTTAAGAAGAAAAAAAGTTCAGGATGACAAGGAACACTAAAATCCCCACAAAATCCGATCTTTATGAAAGCTGTAGGTTCTCTGTCAGGTTCTCTGTCAGGTTCTCTGTCAGGTTCTCTGTCAGCTTCTCTGTCAGCTTCTCTGTCAGCTGAGGTTGAGCTGTTTTAATATGCATTGAGTTCTATGGGGAACATTTCTGGGTAGCCCACGTGAATTTAGTCTGGTTCAGTCTGGTTTAGTCTGGTTTAGTCTGGTCTAGTCTGCAGTACCGCGAGAATCCCCTGAGCACGTGAGTTATTCAGCTACAAGCTGTAATACCCTATCCAGTTATTATAATAGATCCATGGACTGGACTCCTGCTGGGACTCTGAGGAGCACAGGGACTGGCCTCCTGCTGGGACTCTGAGGAGCACAGGGACTGGCCTCCTGCTGGGACTCTGAGGAGCACAGGGACTGGACTCCTGCTGGGACTCTGAGGAGCACAGGGACTGGACTCCTGCTGGGACTCTGAGGAGCACAGGGACTGGCCTCCTGCTGGGACTCTGAGGAGCACAGGGACTGGCCTCCTGCTGGGACTCTGAGGAGCACAGGGACTGGCCTCCTGCTGGGACTCTGAGGAGCACAGGGACTGGCCTCCTGCTGGGACTCTGAGGAGCACAGGGACGGGCCTCCTGCTGGGACTCTGAGGAGCACAGGGACTGGCCTCCTGCTGGGACTATGAGGAGCACAGGGACTGGTCTCCTGCTGGGACTATGAGCTAGAGGAGTTTACTTTCAATGCAAGTCAGAACGCCGAAAATGAAAAATGTATTGCTCTCCAACTAAGTGCATAAATGGCGAGGAGATAGAACTAAAAAACTGTCCAAAGCTGAGATTTAGAATTTTTCTGGATTGAGTGGAAATGTCAACAAGTCTAAAACCTTATCCAGACCAATGAGAGATTACACTGACAGTTCTATTTATGAATGTATTACTGACCTTTATCTAACCAAAGAGAATTCAGAATCTCCTTTTCAGGGGAGTCTGGACGTCACACAGGGGGGGCTTTTGTACATGTTTTTGGTGGTATGGAAAACCTGGAGCACCCGGAGGAAATCTATACAGACACAGTGAGAACATGCAAACTCCACACAGAAAGGCCCCCATCTAGAGGTGGAATGGAACCCAGGATATATTCAAGAATGTGAACTCATCTGCAATACTGTAAACCACACTGATTTTACCTTCTGGGCGTCAATATTCAACCCTATTTTGCCGAGTCATGTTAAGCCAACATCACCATGACCTTGAGTCAATGCATTATACCTTTTTTACCAACTTACACAAAAAAGTTGAATTGGTTTTAGTTTAAACTAAAACTTTAAAGGTCCCATATTATGATTTTTGACTTTTCTCTGGTTTAAACATGATTTCAGCTGCAATACCACCCCGGGCCTGTGGGGGTGGACCCGGAATAAGAATTAGCCAATGCTAACATATAGCATTAGCTGACCTCTCAAAAACGTCTTTACAGGATGGTCCAAAAGTCGGCTCTTGGCCCAAAGCTCCGTTCCACATGTGTGTCAATGCTGAGGGGGGTGAATTTCTTTGGACCCGTCTATTTCAGTTGTTGTGAATTTTTGAAGGCACTCATATGAATGGGGCTCGCTCCGGCTGACGCAGATGCATTTTTTCACAATTTGCTTGTGGGCGGGACCACTCGCGGCCATTTTGAATAGCTCCAGTACAGCAAAATGTTTGGCCCATTTGTTTGAACGGTGGAGATCTGTCCGTTAATATTTACAGTCTATGGTACAGTGATGCTAACCATCCGTGTGTCACTGTGAACTAAATAATTAGGTCTGATTCTGGGTCGAGGACATAGGGCTCTGTATGACGGGTTGACATTCTTGAAAAAAGTTTATTCTCAGGTGTTCAAGGACTGGAGCAGGGAAAGCAGGACAGTTAGCTCCAAATGTTTACCTCCAAGCGTGATGCTACGTCACCGTGCAGGCGGGGGAAGGCCGGTGACGGAGGGGGGAGGCGGGTGAGGGACGGGGGAGGCGGGTGACGGACGGGGGAGGCGGGTGACGGAGGGGGGAGGCCGGAGGGGGGAGGCCGGTGACGGAGGGGGGAGGCCGGTGACGGAGGGGGGAGGCGGGTGACGGAGGGGGGAGGCCGGTGACGGAGGGGGGAGGCGGGTGTGTGAGGGGGAGGCAGCTGAGGGCGGGTGAGGGAGGGGGGAGGCGGGTGTGTGAGGGGGAGGCAGCTGAGGGCGGGTGACGGAGGGGGGAGACCGGTGACGGAGGGGGTAGGCGGGTGTGTGAGGGGGAGGCAGCTGAGGGCGGGTGACGGAGGGGGGAGGCGGGTGTGTGAGGGGGAGGCAGCTGAGGGCGGGTGACGGAGGGGGTAGGCGGGTGTGTGAGGGGGAGGCAGCTGAGGGCGTTTGACGGAGGGGGGAGGCGGGTGTGTGAGGGGGAGGCAGCTGAGAGCGGGTGAGGGAGGGGGGAGGCCGGTGACGGAGGGGGGAGGCGGGTGTGTGAGGGGGGAGGCAGCTGAGGGCAGGTGTGTGAGGGGGGAGGCAGCTGAGAGCGGGTGAGGGAGGGGGGAGGCAGCTGAGGGCGGGTGAGGGAGGGGGGAGGCGGGTGTGTGAGAGTGGGGAGGCGGGTGTGTGAGGGGGAGGCAGCTGAGGGCGGGTGACGGAGGGGGGAGGCGGGTGTGTGAGGGGGGAGGCGGGTGTGTGAGGGGGAGGCAGCTGAGGGCGGGTGACGGAGGGGGGAGGCGGGTGTGTGAGGGAGGAGGCGGGTGTGTGAGGGGGGAGGCAGCTGAGGGCGGGTGACGGAGGGGGGAGGCGGGTGTGTGAGGGGGGAGGCGGGTGTGTGAGGGGGAGGCAGCTGAGGGGCGGGTGACGGAGGGGGGAGGCGGGTGTGTGAGGGGGAGGCAGCTGAGGGCGGGTGACGGAGGGGGTAGGCGGGTGTGTGAAGGGGAGGCAGCTGAGGGCGGGTGACGGAGGGGGGAGGCGGGTGTGTGAGGGGGAGGCAGCTGAGAGCGGGTGAGGGAGGGGGGAGGCCGGTGACGGAGGGGGGAGGCGGGTGTGTGAGGGGGGAGGCAGCTGAGGGCAGGTGTGTGAGGGGGGAGGCAGCTGAGAGCGGGTGAGGGAGGGGGGAGGCAGCTGAGGGCGGGTGAGGGAGGGGGGAGGCGGGTGTGTGAGGGGGGAGGCGGGTGTGTGAGGGGGAGGCAGCTGAGGGCGGGCGAGGGAGGGGGGGAGACCGGTGACGGAGGGGGTAGGCGGGTGTGTGAGGGGGAGGCAGCTGAGGGCGGGTGACGGAGGAGGGGGGAGGCGGGTGTGTGAGGGGGGAGGCGGGTGTGTGAGGGGGGAGGCAGCTGAGGGCGGGTGACGGAGGGGGGAGGCGGGTGTGTGAGGGGGGAGGCGGGTGTGTGAGGGGGAGGCAGCTGAGGGCGGGTGACGGAGGGGGTAGGCGGGTGTGTGAGGGGGAGGCAGCTGAGGGCGGGTGACGGAGGGGGGAGGCGGGTGTGTGAGGGGGAGGCAGCTGAGAGCGGGTGAGGGAGGGGGGAGGCCGGTGACGGAGGGGGGAGGCGGGTGTGTGAGGGGGGAGGCAGCTGAGGGCAGGTGTGTGAGGGGGGAGGCAGCTGAGAGCAGGTGAGGGAGGGGGGAGGCAGCTGAGGGCGGGTGAGGGAGGGGGGAGGCAGCTGAGGGCGGGTGAGGGAGGGGGGGGCGGGCTCTATGCACAAAATGGGTGAGTGTTGTTTGTGTATCACACATGAGAATGGACCGTGAAAAATGAAAAGCAAAATGACACTTTTAAAATAAGTGGGTCAAGTTCATCTGTGTTGCATAAGAAACCAAATTGCTCTAATCTACAAAGGCTCGGTGAAAAAGCAGCTCGTTTGTTCACTAAGAAAGTTTTGCTTAATCAGAGGAAACTCGGACTGAATTCCAATCGTCTTTGGTTGCTGCATAAAAGTGCCGTCTCAAACTTGATATAAACTGTGACGTATTTATAGCCTCCATATCTTTACACGGCACTTCAGAATGACTTTATTAGCAAATGAGATCAACGCAGAGGCAGCCTTCACTAATTTGTTCCAATTTGAGGCCGTCCTCCTCCCACTCCCTGCTTTATCCTGCGTCCAAGTCTGGCAACGAAGATTAGCTCCGAGCCAATCTGTTGAAATTGGGAAATAGACTTTTTGCCGCAGTCATATATCCAATCAAAAAGAAGAGCAGAAAGTAGCGGTACAAGCTAACGACCTGTGTGTGTTTGTTTTTGGAGCTAAAATAAAAAACACCTCTGTGCGACACGCTAGGCCGAACGAGATGATGTTTGCTTTCTGCTGGAGGTGGATGTTGACCGTAACCAGGGGTAAAGACACACAAGGGGCCGGGGCTCGGAGGCACACTCTGGGAGGCAGGTGGAGTAAGTGTCCCCGGGAGATTAGCAGCGTTTTGTGATGTCCCATTTCCTTTGGATGAACGACTCCACGCTCTGATTTAGCAGCAGCGGCATCAGCGTTTGAGGGAAATGGGCTGCAGCCGTTACCGGGGAGAAGGAAAAAAAACGTCCGAACTTGAAAGTAGATTGTTAATTTAGCTTGATTTAGCGTTCTGTGTGTAGTAGTTGGCTGCGGCTTAAGTCTTTTCAAGGGCAAAGAGAGAGTATAAAGAGGTATTATATATATATAAGAAGTAGCATTACATCACACTTTTATTTACTGACAAAGAAAGAGAGATGTGTTTTACCAAGGTTACGGTTATTACAGAGTTGGTATAATAACTAAACCCCGAAAGAGGACGTTTGCAGTTTAAGGTGAAACGTACTTTTAAATTTGTAAGAGAGTTTGTTCACACTAAAGTAAGTAAGTAATGTTTATTAATATAGCGCCTTTCTCAGACCAGAGTCAAAGCGGTTTACAGATGTGGGCGTTTGTCTCTGAGGCACAGACCTATTGTACATGTCTTTAGTGGTAGGGGAAACCGGAGCACCTGGAGGAAACCAGAACAGACACAGGGAGAACATGCAAACTCCACTCCCAGTTCCAACCGGGATTCGAACCCAGGTTTAATGATCGGAATAAGTATGTTTTTCTTGTTTCCAAATCCCTCTTCAGTCCAGTGGAAGTTGCTAGAACAAATCGTTTTATGAATGAGTCAAGTTTCATAAAGCTGTTTATTTTATGTAACGGATGATTTTGTGTTTACACAGAGTAGAAACATTCATAGATACTTTCATATTAAACCAATTAAATTTGAAACCAGATTTTTTTCTTTTTCTCAAGTTTATTTTAATTTTTTTATTGAAGGAAACATCACGTCTGTTACACAATTCTCAAGGATCATTTAGTTGCAGGGTGGAGGAGGAGCAGGTGTGGCAGGGTGGAGGAGGAGCAGGAGTGGCAGGGTGGAGGAGGAGCAGGAGTGGCAGGGTGGAGGAGGAGCAGGTGTGGCAGGGTGGAGGAGGAGCAGGAGTGGCAGGGTGGAGGAGGAGCAGGAGGTGCAGGGTGGAGCAGGAGCAGGAGTGGCAGGGTGGAGGAGGAGCAGGAAGTGGCAGGGTGGAGCAGGAGCAGGAGTGGCAGGGTGGAGGAGGAGCAGGAGTGGCAGGGTGGAGGAGGAGCAGGAGTGGCAGGGTGGAGGAGGAGCAGGTGTGGCAGGGTGGAGGAGGAGCAGGAGTGGCAGGGTGGAGGAGGAGCAGGAGTGGCAGGGTGGAGGAGGAGCAGGAGGTGCAGGGTGGAGCAGGAGCAGGAGTGGCAGGGTGGAGGAGGAGCAGGAGTGGCAGGGTGGAGCAGGAGCAGGAGTGGCAGGGTGGAGGAGGAGCAGGAGTGGCAGGGTGGAGGACGAGCACGAGTGGCAGGGTGGAGGAGGAGCAGGAGTGGCAGGGTGGAGCATGATGAGCACGAGTGGCAGGGTGGAGGAGGAGCACGAGTGGCAGGGTGGAGGACGAGCACGAGTGGCAGGGTGGAGCATGAGCACGAGTGGCAGGGTGGAGGACGAGCACGAGTGGCAGGGTGGAGCACGAGCAGGAGTGGCAGGGTGGAGGAGGAGCAGGAGTGGCAGGGGTGGAGGACGAGCACGAGTGGCAGGGTGGAGGAGGAGCAGGAGTGGCAGGGTGGAGGACGAGCACGAGTGGCAGGGTGGAGCACGAGCAGGAGTGGCAGGGTGGAGGAGGAGCAGGAGTGGCAGGGTGGAGGAGGAGCAGGAGTGGCAGGGTGGAGGAGGAGCAGGAGTGGCAGGGTGGAGGAGGAGCAGGAGTGGCAGGGTGGAGGAGGAGCAGGTGTGGCAGGGTGGAGGAGGAGCAGGAGTGGCAGGGTGGAGGAGGAGCAGGAGTGGCAGGGTGGAGGAGGAGCAGGTGTGGCAGGGTGGAGGAGGAGCAGGAGTGGCAGGGTGGAGGAGGAGCAGGTGTGGCAGGGTGGAGGAGGAGCAGGAGTGGCAGGGTGGAGGAGGAGCAGGTGTGGCAGGGTGGAGGAGGAGCAGGTGTGGCAGGGTGGTGGGGTGGAGGAGGAGTGATGTGGTCGCTGTAGGGGTCCGGGTGATGATGCGAGCTGCAGAGTTTTGGAGGAATTTGTTGGGGAGGCCATGTTGGGGAGGTCATGTTGGAGAGGTCATGTTGGGGAGGCCATGCTGGGGAGGCCATGGTTGGGGAGGCCATGTTGGGGAGGCCATGTTGGGGAGGCCATGTTGGGGAGGCCATGTTGGGGAGGCCATGTTGGGGAGGTCATGTTGGGGAGGCCATGTTGGGGAGGTCATGTTGGGGAGGTCATGTTGGCGAGGTCATGTTGGAGAGGCCATGTTGGGGAGGCCATGTTGGGGGAGGCATGTTGGGGAGGTCATGTTGGGGAGGTCATGTTGGAGAGGTCATGTTGGAGAGGTCATGTTGGGGAGGCCATGTTGGGGAGGCCATGTTGGATAGGTCATGTTTGGGAGGCCATGTTGGGGAGGCCATGTTGGGGAGGTCATGTTGGGGAGGCCATGTTGGGGAGGCCATGTTGGGGAGGCCATGTTGGGGAGGCCATTGGGAGGCATTGGAGAGGTCATGTTGGGGAGGCATGTGGCATGTTGGAGAGGTCATGTTGGAGAGGCCATGTTGGGGAGGCCATGTTGGGGAGGCCATGTTGGGGAGGCCATGTTGGGGAGGCCATGTTGGGGAGGCCATGTTGGGGAGCATGTGGGAGGCCATGTTGGGGAGGCCATGTTGGGGAGGCCATGTTGGGGAGGCCATGTTGGGGAGGCCATGTTGGGAAGGTCATGTTGGGGAGGCCATGTTGGGGAGGTCATGTTGGGGAGGCCATGTTGGGGAGGTCAGGTTGGGGAGGCCATGTTGGGGAGGCCATGTTGGGGAGGCCATGTTGGGGAGGCCATGTTGGGGAGGTCATGTTGGGGAGGTCATGTTGGAGAGGTCATGTTGGAGAGGTCATGTTGGGGAGGCCATGTTGGGGAGGCCATGTTGGATAGGACATGTTTGGGAGGCCATGTTGGGGAGGCCATGTTGGGGAGGTCATGTTGGGGAGGCCATGTTGGGGAGGCCATGTTGGGGAGGCCATGTTGGGGAGGCCATGTTGGAGAGGTCATGTTGGGGAGGCTATGTTGGGGAGGCCATGTTGGAGAGGTCATGTTGGAGAGGCCATGTTGGGGAGGCCATGTTGGGGAGGCCATGTTGGGGAGGCCATGTTGGGGAGGCCATGTTGGGGAGGCCATGTTGGGGAGGCCATGTTGGGGAGGCCATGTTGGGGAGGCCATGTTGGGGAGGCCATGTTGGGAAGGTCATGTTGGGGAGGCCATGTTGGGGAGGTCATGTTGGGGAGGCCATGTTGGGGAGGTCAGGTTGGGGAGGCCATGTTGGGGAGGCCATGTTGGGGAGGCCATGTTGGGGAGGTAGGGAAGTAGGGAAGTAATGTTAAAGTCCAGATACATTGACACTTTACTGTGAACAAACTCAAGTAACACAATTTCTAATAAATATGTTTATGTCTTTTAGAATATTGTACAGTTGCATCGTAGCACAATTGTCAGACCTAGTTAGTACCGTGATGGGAGACCTCTGGGAACACCAGGTGCCACAGTGGGGCGGCTGCGGCTGTAAAGTGTCAAACTGTTTTTGTGTTTTTAGATTAGATTAAATAAAATTAGCCTTTTTTGAGCAAGAACATGACAAAGAACAGAACATGAGAATTACAAACAGCTCATTCACTCCTCATTCACAAAGAACAATAACAATGAAAAAAGGCAAAACACCAGAATGAGTCTGGTGTGTGTGTGAATGGTTGGTGGAGGGAGGGGCCGATGGCACAGACTGGTTGCCTCGCTTCTGTCAGTGTGCCCCAGGGCAGCTGAGGCTACAGTAGTTTATCACCACCGCGTTTGAGCGAAAGGATAAAGACACGTGAAGAGTCTTTGAGAGTCATAAAGCACTGTATAAAACCAATGCATTATTAAATCAATACTTCATCTTAGATTTCGTTAACGCTGAATCAGATTGTTACAAAGGTATTTAGTAAAGGTGGAGGGTTTTCTGTGGTCGATGCCAGACTGAATGGACATTTTAATTGGAAAAACTTAAACTCTAATGAGAGAGTTAGAAAGGACATCCATCTGATCCATACAAAGTGTGGACTGTAATTATTGTGAAAGTCTGGATATTTTGTTTTGAACTGTGGGGATCCTTCTGCTAAAAACGACTTAAAGCTACTCTGTGTAATTTCTACAGTTGCTCCAGTTGAAAAAAACATGTAAAAACGAAAAACAAACCAAAAAAACGTTTTAAGAATATTTACCTCCACCATGTTTTTGAATTGTTGTTATAGCCTTAGAATCTGACTTCTAAATGTCCATGAGGCTGAAGACTCTCTGTGTTTATGCTCCATCTTGAAATAGAGAGGCTGATAAGGGACAAAAAGGAGTTTTGTCGGGGACCACTGTCAAAGACCTCATATTGTTCTGTGAAGCCACCGTAGTACTGTAAATTACAATATATGATCTCAATGCTAGATGGGAGTAGAAACTGCACAGTGTAGCTTTAATAGTGAAAAGAGGCGATATTTAAATCCTGTAAAAAAGGGGCGCAGACATAAGCCTCACCTCGGGGGGAATGGGGTCGAGGCCGGTGCAGTTCTCGTTGCATTTGTCGAACACGAGTCGCAGCTTCCTGAAGAGCACCGAGAGCATGCACAGGTGCTCCTGCAGTTTGCCCAGGCGGTCCTTGTGGGTGTTGGCATTGTACGTCACTCCATTTGGAAGCTAGGGGGCGCCACACACACGGAAAAGAACATGTAAGGATCAGAAAATCTCAATCTCAGTTCTTTCTCCAACACCGATTTGGAACTGAACCAAAGGCTGCATGATGTTGGACAAACCTCATCAGCTGCACTGCAATTCACCAAATATGTTTTAACAGTTGGATTCTGTTCCACAACGACGTTCAGATGATATGATATAACAAACACACAGGTTCATGTCAAACACAAAACCATTTTAGATTCAAATAAAACTTTTTAAATGACACTATTATTCATTTGTGCAAAAAAAGTCCCAAAAACTTACCTCTGCCCCTCTCTTCCTCCTCTCTCCCTCCTCTCCTCTCTCCCTCCTCTCCGTCCCCTCTCCCTTCTCTCCTCTCTCCCTCCTCTCTGTCCCCTCTCTCCCTCTCCCTCCTCCCCTCTCTCCCTCTCCCTCCTCCCCTCTCTCCCTCCTCTCCTCTCTCCCTCCTCTCTGTCCCCTCTCTCCCTGCTCTCCTCTCACCCTCCTCTCCTCTCTCCCTCCTGTCTCCTCTCTGTCCCCTCTCTCCCTCCTCCCCCCTCTCTCCCTCCTCTCTCCCTCCTCCCCTCTCCCTCCTCTGTCTCCTCTCCCTCCTCTCTCCCCTCTCTCCCTCCCTCTCCCCTCTCTCCCTCCTCTGACTTCTCTGTCCCCTCTGTCCCCTCGCTCCCTCCTCTCCTCTCCTCTCCCTCCTCTCCTCTCTCCCTCCTCTCCTCTGCCTCCTCTCTCCCTCCTCTCTGTCCCCTCTCTCCCTCCTCTGTCCCCTCTCTCCCCCCTCTCCTCTCTCCCTCCTCTCCTCTCTGTCCCCTCTCTCCCTCCTCTCCCCTCTCTCCCTCCTCTGACTTCTCTGTCCCCTCTGTCCCCTCGCTCCCTCCTCTCCTCTCCTCTCCCTCCTCTCCTCTCTCCCTCCTCTCCTCTGCCTCCTCTCTCCCTCCTCTCTGTCCCCTCTCTCCCTCCTCTCTCCCTCCTCCTCTGCCTCCTCTCTCCCTCCTCTCTGTCCCCTCTCTCCCTCCTCTGTCCCCTCTCTCCCTCCTCTCCTCTCTCCCTCCTCTCCTCTCTGTCCCCTCCTCTCCCTCCTCTCCTCTCTGTCCCCTCCTCTCCCTCTCTCCCTCCTCTCCTTTATGTCTCCTCTCTCCCTCCTCTCTGTCCTCTCCTCTCTCCCCCTCTCCTCCCTCTGTCTCACCTCTCTCTCCTCTCCTCTCTCTCTCCCTCCTCTCCTCTCCATCTCCTCTCTCTCCTCCTCTCTCTCCTCCGTCTCCTCTCCATCTCCTCTCCCTCCTCTCTCTCCTCTGCCTCTCTCTCCCTCCCTCTCTCCCTCCTCTCCATCTCTCTCTCTCCCTCCTCCTCTCTCTCCTCTGCCTCTCTCTCTCCCTCCCCTCTCTCCCCTCCTCTCTGTCCCTCTCTCTCCCTCCTCTCCTCTCTCCTCCCTCTCTCCTCTCCTCTCCTCACCTCTCCTCTCTCTCTCCTCTCTCCTCTCCCTCTCTCTCTCTCCTCTCCTCTCCTCCTCTGTCCCCTCCTCTCCCTCTCTCCTCTCTCTCTCCTCTCTCCTCCTCTCTCCTCCGCCCTCTCTCCTCTCTCTGCCTCTCCTCTCTCCTCTCCCTCCTCTCCTCCCTCTCTCCTCTCCTCTCCTCTCTCCTCTCCTCTCCTACTCTCCTCCTCTCCCTCTCCCTCCTCTCCTCTCCTCTCTCTCTCTCCTCTCCTCTCTCCTCTCTCTCCTCTCTTCCTCCCTCTCCTCTCCTCTCTTCCTCCTCTCTCTCCTCTCTCCTCCTCTCTCTCCTCTCTCTCCTCTCTCCTCCTCTCCTCTCTCTCCTCTCTCCTCTCTCTCTCCTCCTCTCCTCTCCTCTCCTCTCTCTCCTCTCTCTCCTCTCTCTCCTCCTCTCTCTCCTCTCTCCCTCTCTCTCTCTCCTCTCTCTCCTCTCTCTCCTCTCTTCCTCCTCTCTCTCCTCTCTCCCTCCTCTCTCTCCTCTCTCTCCTCTCTCTCCTCTCTCTCTCCTCTCTCCCTCTCTCTCCTCCTCTCCTCTCCTCTCTCCTCTCTCTCCTCTCCTCTCTCTCCTCCTCTCTCTCCTCTCCTCTCTCTCTCCTCTCTCTCCTCCTCTCTCTCCTCTCCTCTCTCCTCTCTCTCCTCTCTCCTCTCCTCTCTCCTCTCTCTCTCCTCTCTCTCCTCCTCTCCTCTCCTCTCTCTCCTCCTCTCCTCTCCTCTCTCTCCTCCTCTCTCTCCTCTCTCCTCCTCTCTCTCCTCTCCTCCTCCTCTCGTCTCCTCTCTTCCTCCTCTCTCTCCTCTCTCCTCCTCTCTCTCCTCTCTCTCCCTCTCCTCTCCTCTCTCCTCCTCTCTCTCCTCTCCTCCTCTCTCTCTCTCTCCTCTCTCTCCTCTCCTCTCTCTCCTCCTCTCTCTCCTCTCTCCTCCTCTCTCCTCCTCTCTCCCTCCTCTCTCTCCTCTCTCCTCTCCTCTCTCCTCTCTCCTCTCTCCTCTCCTCTCTCTCCTCTCCTCTCTCCTCTCCTCTCTCCTCTCTCCTCCTCTCTTCCTCTCTCTCCTCTCCTCCTCTCCTCCTCTCTCTCCTCTCCTCTCCTCTCTTCCTCCTCTCCTCTCTCTCTCCCTCTCTCTCCTCTCTCCTCCTCTCTCCTCTCCTCTCTCCTCTCTCTCCTCTCCTCTCTCCTCTCTTCTCCTCTCCTCTCTCCTCTCCTCTCCTCTCTCCCTCTCTCTCCTCTCTCCTCCTCTCTCCCTCTCTTCCTCTCTCTCTCCTCTCTCCTCCTCTCTCTCCCCTCTCCTCTCTCTCCTCTCTCTCCTCCTCTCCTCTCCTCTCTCTCCTCTCTCCTCCTCTCCTCTCCTCTCTCCTCCTCTCTCTCCTCTCTCCTCTCTCCTCCTCTCCTCCTCTCCTCTCCTCTCTCCTCCCTCTCTCCTCTCCTCTCCTCCCTCTCTCCTCTCTCCTCTCTCTCTCCTCTCTCCTCTCTCCTCCTCTCCTCTCTCTCCTCTCCTCTCTCTCCTCTCTCTCCTCTCTCCTCCTCTCTTCTCTCTCTCCCTCCTCTCTCTCCTCTCTCCTCTCTCTCCTCCTCTCCTCTCTCCTCTCCTCTCCTCTCTCTCCTCTCTCCTCCTCTCTCCCTCTCCTCTCTCCTCTCTCCTCTCCTCCTCTCTCTCCCTCTCTCTCCTCTCCTCTCTCCTCTCTCTCCTCCTCTCTCCTCTCTTCCTCCTCTCTCTCCTCTCTCCCTCCTCTCCTCTCTCTCTCTCCTCCTCTCTCTCCTCTCTCCCTCCTCTCTCCTCTCTCTCCTCTCCTCTCCTCTCTCTCCTCCTCTCTCTCCTCTCCTCTCCTCTCTCTCCTCTCTCTCCCTCTCTCCTCTCCTCTCTCCCTCCTCTCCTCTCCTCTCTCCTCCTCTCTCTCTCCTCTCCTCCTCTCTCTCTCCTCCTCTCTCTCTCCTCTCTCTCCTCTCTCTCCTCTCCTCTCTCTCCTCTCTCTCCTCTCTCTTCTCCTCTCTCCTCTCCTCTCTCCTCTCTCTCTCCTCTCTCTCCTCTCCTCTCTCCTCTCTCTCCTCTCTTCTCCTCCCTCTCCTCCTCTCTCTCTCCTCTCCTCTCCTCTCCTCTCTCCTCTCCTCTCTCCTCTCTCTCCTCTCTCTCCTCTCTCTCCTCTCTCCTCCTCTCTCCTCTCCTTCTCTCTCTCCTCTCCTCTCTCCTCTCTCTCTCCTCTCTCTCCTCTCTCTCCTCTCTCCTCCTCTCTCCTCTCTCTCCTCTCTCTCTCCTCTCTCTCCTCTCTCTCCCTCTCTCCTCTCCTCTCTCCTCCTCTCTCTCCTCTCTCTCTCCTCTCTCTCCTCTCTCTCTCCTCCTCTCGTCTCTCCTCTCTCCTCCTCTCCTCTCTCTCTCTCCTCCTCTCTCCTCTCTCCTCCTCTCTCTCCTCTCTTCCTCTCTCCTCTCCTCTCTCTCCTCCTCTCTCTCTCCTCTCTCTCCTCCTCTCTCTCCTCTCTTCCTCTCTCCTCTCCTCTCTCTCTCCTCCTCTCTCTCCTCTCTCCTCCTCTCTCTCCTCTCTCTCCTCCTCTCTCTCCTCTCTTCCTCCTCTCTCTCCTCTCTCTCCTCCTCTCTCTCCTCTCTCTCCTCTCTCTCTCTCTCCTCTCTCCTCCTCTCTCTCCTCTCTCCTCTCTCCTCTCCTCTCTCTCCTCTCTCTCCTCTCCTCTCTCCTCTCTCTCCTCTCTCTCCTCTCTCTCCTCCTCTCTCTCCTCTCTCTCCTCCTCTCTCCTCTCTCTCCTCCTCTCTCTCCTCTCTCTCCTCCTCTCCTCTCCTCTCTCCTCCTCTCGTCTCTCTCTCCCTCTCTCTCCTCTCTCCTCCTCTCTCTCCTCTCTCCTCCTCTCTCTCCTCTCCTCTCCTCTCCTCTCTCTCCTCCTCTCTCTCCTCTCTCCCTCTCTCCTCTCTCCTCCTCTCTCCTCCTCTCTCTCCTCTCTCTCCTCCCTCTCTCCTCTCTTCCTCCTCTCCTCTCCTCTCTCCTCCTCTCTCTCCTCTCTCTCCTCCTCTCTCCTCTCTCCCTCTCTCTCTCCTCTCTCTCCTCTCTCCTCTCCCCTCTCTCTCCTCTCTCCTCCTCTCTCTCCTCTCTCCCTCTCTCCTCTCTCCTCTCTCCTCCTCTCTCTCCTCTCTCCTCTCTCCCTCTCTCTCCTCTCTCCTCCTCTCTCTCCTCTCTCCCTCTCTCCTCTCTCCTCTCCTCTCTCTCCTCTCTTCTCCTCTCTCCTCTCCTCTCTCTCCTCCCTCTCTCTCCTCTCTCCTCCTCTCTCTCTCCTCTCTCTCTCTCTCCTCTCCCTCTCTCTCCTCTCTCCCCTCTCTCCTCTCTCCTCTCTCCTCTCTCCTCTCCTCTCTCCCCTCTCTCTCCTCTCTCCTCTCCTCCCTCTCTCTCCCTCTCTCTCCTCTCCCTCTCTCCTCTCTCTCCTCCTCTCTCTCCTCTCTCCTCTCTCCTCTCTCTCCCTCTCCTCTCTCTCCTCTCTTCCTCTCTCTCCTCTCTCCCCTCTCTCCTCTCTTCCTCCTCTCTCCTCCTCTCCTTCTCCTCTCCTCTCCTCTCTTCCTCCTCTCTCTCCTCTCTCCTCTCTCTCCTCTCTTCTCCCTCCTCTCCTCTCTCTTC